GAAAGAAATTCTTCACAGTGAGAGTGGTGAGGCACTGGAACAGGTTGCCCAGAGAGGCTGTGGATGCCCCATCCCTGGAAGTGTTTAAGGCCAGGCTGGATAGGGCTTCGAGCAAGGGATTGGAACTAGATGATCTTTAAGGTCCCTTTCAACCCATACCATTCTATGACTCTGTGGAAGTGCATTCAGTTCTCTTGATTATCTGTCTATTAATAGTTGTATTTTTGGCTCTTTGAACTGGTGGTATTTCAAACAATTATGTGGCAAAAAGTTTTGTGAGGTAATTAAAAGCTATGTAAAATGCATTTAATTTTATATAGAGATTCAAGTTGCCTGGTGTTTATATCAACATTAAAAATAGGAATAAATAAAATATTTATATCACAAATAAGTCTGTCATTCTTCCAAAATGCACCCTGATTCTTTAAGTTACAGATCATCCATTAAGTTGCATTTCACTTAACATTTCTGACAGCTGTAGTTTCTGCTCATTGACCCTTCCTTACACTTGTTAGTGCTCACGCCAAGAAGATGCCTGAGAGAGAAGATAAACTAGATGAATGCATATCCAGTCCTGCAGGCATGAGTTTTCAGTAATGCTTTTACTCAGAACTGCATGTAGTTCATGGAGAGCTATCAGCCGCTTAAAATAACCCAGTCCTTGAATCCAGTAGTTCTTGTATTCTGCTGAGATTGCGTTTAAGCAGACATTGCATTACTGTTCTTCAGTGCCAGAAGCATGGCCTTGGAAAAAGGCTACTGAATGATTTGTCATTTGAATTTTCATTCCTTAGACTGCCTTATCTCAAACCAGATAAATCAGTGTGACATCTGGTATTTCTGACCCAACGTGTGGCCCACATGTCTAGTTCTGCTTTGGTATTGGACACCAGCAGTTTGCACAATAGGTTTTTGATTTTTCCAGACTGCTGCATAAAAAATAGTAAAGCGCTATACTGACACTATACAAATGAATTTATCCGGGCAAAACTGATCACCCTTCACCATTTAGCCTTTCCATAAACTGTCTGTTCTTTGAGACTTTATTAATGAGGGTTTTAGCCTATGAAGTGTGTACTAATCATCATCCAACTATTATTCATCAAAGTTGTATTCAAGATTTTGAAAGGATGTACAGATACATATATGCATATACAGATCCAGATATATTTTTTAAAAACATTTTTTATAGCCATGATTTTTTTTTTTACTTTATAATCCTCATAATCCTCATTTTTTCTCTTGAGAGACAGCCTTTTTTTCATAGGTTTTCTTCATAGGGAGGGGATGTGGGCTTGTCAGGAAGGTTATTTCTTATTCTTTCTGTTTTTTATTTTAGGTTATTACAGGTTATTTCTGTGTTCCTTCTGCTCTGGACTAGTGCAGAAAGTGTCTGGAAACTCAGTGCTACCATTGCAGCCATACCTATGTCAGATGCCCTGTACTGTACCTGTGTAATGATTTTTTTTTTTTTTTTCTGAATCTGTAGAGCAAAGCTATGCTGGGACATTTACCTTCTGATGACTGTTGTGATCTGGTGAAAATTATGTAGAATCAAATATGGGCTTGTTTCTTAGCTTCTGCGTCAAATTTTTGGTGGTCTTTGGGGTGGTCTCTTCTGAGAACTGCGTTACTGAGAAAGTTGGCCTAGCAGGCTCTGCACTGAACCCACAGCTGGGTGCAGGTGCCAAAGATGATAAAAGGAGCAAGGAGGATGTGAAAAGGAAGAGCTTGATGGCTTGAATTTTCACCGGAAAAAGACAGTAGCATACAGTAATATACAAAGAATTTGTTCCCCAATAGAATCATTCTGTGCCTGGAGAGAAGGCACTTGTCACTTGAAAAGCAATTGCTTCCCCCTTCTGGCTTTCATGGAATGACTAGCTAAATTTATCTCACCAAAAGGTTCTTTTCACTTACTAGGGATAACTTTTTATTGTAATTATTTGGGATTGATCTGTGTGTTATATATTTAAAAAGTCACTAAAATTGAATGAGTAGGTAAAATGAAGAAGTTTTCTTTATTTAGAACTCTACCTCTCAAATGACTGATTATATTGTTTGCATTGCCAGGCAGTCCTAGGGAAACAGGGGAAAACAACATGTGAAAAACTCAAAGGACAGATAACGCTGAGGTGGTCTGCCCTACTGGCAACAGAAGAAGCGCTGTTTCCACTGGATCTATGCTCATTACTACTCTGATTTTTTATCCATGAGTAATTACACACCTCATTTTGAGCAATTATTTTTTGTTCCTTTCCTCAACACAAAATGAAAATCAGATCTAGTTTTGAAAGAATTTCTTTGTGATCATCGATCCTGGGAGGTGCTATCCTCTATTTGCTGTCTTGCAGGGCTAGCCATGGATGGAGTTGATTTTGCCTTTATGTGTGGTCTGCCCTATGCATCTGTATTCTGTACCTGGTGAAACAGGTATTCTGCTGTTAGATATATAATGTTTTGGCTCTAAATGAAGAGGAATGCATTGGTATTAGTGAAATTAACCTGAAATAGCACAGAGATGATGGAAAAATTAAAGACAGTTACATAAGTTCAAGATTGGTTTTAATTAGCTATTAAACCTAAATTAAGTCAGAAGCATGGAAGGATATGGCTCACATTTACAGATTGTCTTTTGAAAGAAATGCTCTTACAGCTTCTTCATGCATTTGAGAACACATTTAGGTGTGTGTATATATGGTGTGTGTTTCACCAAACCTTTAAAAAGATATTTCAGCAATCATTTTGCCTCTCTGACATGCCATGCATTACTTCTTGTCTTCAAATTGCAGCAGGGGAGGTTGAGACTGGATGTTAGGAAAAATTTATTCGCTGAAAGGTTTGTGAAGCATTGGAACAGGCTGCCCAGGGAAGTAGTTGAGTCACCATCCCTGGAGATATTTAAAAGACGTGTAGATATGATGCTTAGGGACACGGTTTAGTGGTAGACTTGTCAGTACTGGGTAAACAGTTGGACTTGATGATATCAGACGTTTTTTCCAACCTAAATGATTCTTATGATTCCTTGTTGGATTTTACTAAATGTTTTTTCTGTGAGGGGAAAAGATAGTGGTGTAGTCATTAACAACTAGTAAACAAAACAATTAGTAGAAAGAAAAAAAAAAAAAAGAGGATACATCACTAGCATCAAGACATGGAGGAGTGGAGGAAGTGACTAGAACCTAGAGAACATGCAGAAGAATAGGGGGAATGTTTTTAACTGTGTCCATTTGTCAACAAGAGCCAACGACCGTTTGTCCATTTGCCGACAGTAGTCAACATATAATGTACAAGACAATCTTTGAAGGGTTAAATAAAATTTAGTAGTTCTCTGTGCCATCTGTAGACTATGGGAAGTTTCTTATGCTTAATCAAAGTATTCGCGTAAAAGAGAACCAATAATGACAGATGAGAGTATTGCAGCTATTGAGACCATGCAACGCTTAAACCTTCTGACTGCAAACCTGAATACCTATCAACTGATTCTCTTATGAAAGTATTGAAACATATACTCAGTTTATTCCAGTAACAGTCCTGCAAGTCTAAGCAGAAGCATGAACTGAAGTGATTTTGCTTTAGGAGAATTTAGTATGACTTCTGTACTCCCCTTTGTTCAGTAAGAGTAACTATGCATTAAAGAGTGTAACAATTTTCTCCTCCATGAACCTTAGTGATAGAGTTTCTCTCACCTAATTTTAGCTGTCTCAGTGACTCCATTGACTCAGTCTATTTGTGTGGTAGTCACCTAAGTTCCCTTTGTATGTAATGAGAGAAACAGAGAAACCTAGAGGGGACAGAAACCCTTCCAGAATAGGTTTTCAGAAAAACGGGCAGCTATTATTACACTAACACTAAATAGTAATAAGAAAAGCATCAACAACAAATTTTACATTTAGATACATCTTTTTATACAGAAAATCAGAAGTTCACTTTAATATCATGCATCAGTAACTCCATTAGAGAAAGACCTCATCCATCTTCCTGCCCTGAATTTATACTTACTACACAGAAAAATGCACAGAAAAGCTCATATAGTGGAAGGGCAAGAGCTGGAAAACTGATAAACCCTGTCTGTTTTGGCTATGTGGACGATATATACTAAAACTTGTGCTAGGCCTTAAAACTTTCCACACAGTGGCACTGTATATCAAAAGCTAGGACGCATACAAACACATGACTGGCATGTTTCCTTCCAGAATTTCTGGAAATGAGCTGTTCTGGCAAATTTTAAACAAGTACACCTGATTGCAAAAGGTGTGCCTCACTGAAGTGCTTGTTCCCAGTTCCATGAATTCTTGTCTTTGCTTAAATAGAACAACAGAAAATAAGGAAACTTCATGGTATTTTCAGCTTCTTTTTATTCAATCCTTTCTTAGGATTGTGAAGGCTATAGGTAATACACCACAAGTGCTACAGTAAGTCAATAGGTAAAAACTGAAATCCATGAGAAAGCTTTCAGTGTGTTTTTCAGTTAATTTTGGTTTTGTAAGTAGAAAGGAATTAGGGGAACATCTTTGCCTCTACTTCCGTGGTCTTTGTCGGTCACATAGATCTATCCATTGCTTCTACCTTTCCTGATAAATGTTATGACTAAACCTCTGTTTAATCTGAATGAGCAGTCACATAGCAGCTTCCTCTGATAAGAAATGACAAAATGATTATCAATTCAAGCTCCAGCTTCTGAGAAATCTCTTGAATGTCCACTTTAATCTTAGTGCAGAGTTACCAAAGACTTCAACGATGTTAGACAACCATTACTTTTCTGGTAGTAGTGAGTCCGTGTATGTTCTGCATGAAGAGTTGGACATAACCTGGTTCATAACCACAGTGTTTACAGTTGTGATTAAAACATAAGATGCTACTCTCTTATCCTGTTGTTGTAATAGTTTTTCACAGGAGGGACATAGTAAAGGAGGGTGGTGGCGGGAGGGAAGCAGGAACACTGACATAAATGCAGCAAGAAAGCTACTGGATTGACCCCTCTGCTTTATTTGTTCCAGAATTCCAGCAGTGTTTCGAAGAACTCTTTCAGTTGTGACAAGGGATCACAGTAGGTATTCCTTTAATATTTGGTTTAGTAGTGTCAAGTGCTGTCATGTTATTTGTGGTTTAGATTTTTGAGATAGCTTTCTCTGAGACATGTCCAGCTGTGCAAAGTTAATTTTTACTATCCCTCTGTGAGATAAAAGCTGGGCATATTTGAAGAGCTTACTTTTAACTTAGTGACTATCATCTTCTGATTATTCTATTAGGAAGGATATAGGTATCAGGTAAGGTATCTGGTTTCACCCTCAACTGGGGGAAGGAGCAGAAGGTAAAGGAAACAGTATTTGTACATAATTGTACCTGTACAATTATTTGTATTATATTAGTGTCTGTTACAGTTTGGGGACTGGTTTTGGATTCACCTCAGTGTTTCTCAGAACAGTTTTCAAGATGGTATCTATCTGCAATGTTTTACAGACCACTGGTGAATTTACTAATTTGTAAAGCATTTGTAGAGTTCCACAGAAAGAGACCTGTGCAGCCATAAGTATCTGTACGATGTGGGGATTTTTGTTTTTGTTCTTCTTTGTTTTAACTCCCACATTTCTTGCACTAGTGTTTGTGAAAGTTAATTGTATTCATCTTACTGCTTTTCTACACTATTGGTTGTAGAGATTTTTTCATTATAGTTTTGATATGAAGAACTCTGATTTTTGGCTACCTCTATTTACATACTAAAATTAAGAATTTGAACTTTATAGATGTTTAATAAATCGTAATTTTAATGAAAGCTTTGCAAACATGAAATGCTGACTGTATCAGTCCAAGTTGTGATTTCTTCTCATTAATATACTCTGCTGCTTTTTTCTGAACTGCCATGTCTAATTTCTTCACAGAAGTGCAGACTTTGAACACATTATGGAGGAGGGCTATGAACTTGACCTCACTTACATCACGGAACGGATCATTGCTGTATCTTTCCCTGCTAGCTGTTCTGAGGAAACTTATCTCCACAATCTACAAGATGTAACACGAATGCTCAAATCCAAACATGGTGATAATTACTTGGTATGTATGTCTGTCTTAAGTGCTGCATCTTCTTCTGTCCTGCAGGAAGACCACTTGTAGGTTTACATGTGCCATTATAAACTAAAAGTCATTCATCTAAAAACTCTTGTCCACCTTTACAGCTTTATAAGCAAGAACAGAATTTTCAGTAATGTTATAATCTGTTAGATAAGGATAGGGATATTAAAAATACCTTTCTGCTGTTGGCACTGCAGTCTCTATTTTGATCATAGGTATTCAAATGCTACAGAACAATTGCACATACTGTTTTAATTGTCCAAAGTATACTTTTAAGAAACATATATGCTGCAATGTAGAATGTGTTTTTCTTTCCTAGCCATCTGTTAAACCAGGGTCCTCAGCTTGGGTATCTAATGGTCTTTCACCATCATGCCTGGGCTGTCTCTGGTATATGTAATAGGGTTACAGTTTGTCTGTTTGGTCAAACTCTATCTCATTAACTTGATTTAGATGCATTTTTCTTGCTATTTAGTTTTCTGTAGGAAATTAGATTGTGAGCAAATCTCAAATGAGCTCTATGTGCAGAATATTTTTAAGTAATGATCCAAACCTTTACTTCTGTGCTGTTTTTTCCCTAGTATATCTGTAACCTATGACATGTATTGTCTCAGCTTGTTCTGTGAATGTGAACAGGGCCAGTATTTTATTTACGTTTTTTTCTTCTATTTTTAGTCAGCATGCTTAAACGATTAGAATCAAATTTCCACAGCTTCAGGAGCATAAACTTTACTAACTGCATAAATTGGTTTACAGAGTGAGTCCACCTAACAATTTAAATATACTATCTTCTGCTCACAAACAGAGGTGTCATAGATGTATTGTGGACTATCTGTTGTCCTCAAGACATACCTGTAATACTTACAGTGTTGTCTGATGTTCTCAGAATGCCACCTTATTGCCCTTCCTTCCATTCCATGTAGTGCTGGTAGCTTGTAAGGTACAATATACTAACAGTGTGAGGGTAACCTGGATGTAAAGATTTATGGTTTCCAATTCACCTGTTGTGAGTGGCCTTTCCCATATGACAGAAATATTTTTGGTATGTGGGAAATAATCTTGTAGTCTCATTAGAGTTAAATCTCATTAAATAACTGTATTACAAATATCTTCTGTGTGTATGGTAAGTGAGAGAGATTAGGTTGAGGAGATGTCCTCTCTTTAAGTGGGATTGCAGTCAGTTTCTATTGCAACGTTTTGATCTGAGTTTAATTATTTATTTAAAAAATATGTACCCAGTACTTTGGAAATCTGCAGACATGGTCAAAAGAAAATTCGATTCCCTCTGTTCAAGAAAGTTTCTGCAAATTTTCAAAACAACCTGGAAAATCATAGCCAGGTTACAGAGCCAGAGATCTTATTTTAAAACTTTATCTGTTGTTTCGCATGTTTCAAAGATCCCTTAAATCTGCTTGAGAGACATAAGTATAGCAGCAAAAAGCAAACAAACAAATTGAAAAAAAAAGAAACATTAAAAAAAAGAAAAAAAGAAAAACAGAAAAACCACCACCTACAAGTAAGCAATGTTACTGAAGCTGATGAGAACAGTTTTCTTCTTTCATTTGGTCAGGGCCTGAGCTAGCAGAAACTATACTATAAATCAACATTTGTTGTTTCTTATCTAGCTGTTCTCTTTCTGGATTTTTGTACGTAGTAGATTGTTGCTGCTATAGTCAATAATGAGAACAGAGAAGGGGGAATGGAACACCCAAAGAACTGTGTTTGTTTGAAAAAACAGCCATTTCATAGAAAGAGATTTAGTGGATAGAATAAAGCATCCTTTTATTCCCCAATAAAATGATCTCTTGGTCGCAAAGGAAGGCATGTTTTCATGCAAGATTTAAAGGCTTGGCTACAAATGAATGCTGTTTTTCACCAGCATTTTCAAAATATAATTAGTGCAAGCATAAGCAGTTTAAATGGCATAATCGTTTTGTCAACTGAAAAACTCAGTTTGCAAAAATAAATTAATCATGTTTCTGTTTTAATCAATTTTACCAGTAATACATTTGTCATGCTATTTTAACAAAAGTTTGCCATGCATTGTGCTTGTAGGAAAGGAGTGGTGCTCAATTGTTCAGATAGTTTTAGCTTTCAGAAGAAACAACAACAAGAACAAAATGTTACCAGTTTGTCTGTTTATCAGTTTGTCACTTAAGAATTTTAATTTTAGTGTTTATTAGTTATGATTATCAAAGCAGTTTTCCTGATGTTAATTTATAGCAGTGATAAATGAACAAGTTACCTTACCTCTCTTGCTGTATTCGGGTGTTCCAGTGGTATTTTCGTATCTACAGTGACTGAAAGGTAACAGAGTTCTTTGAGGAGTAAACTATTGTAAATTAATTCACTCTAGTTAGATGTGTGTACACATTAAGAATGAGGTAGTAAATACTATTGTCTAAATTCATGTTCAGTTCTTCTAGGAAAGCAAAATAAACCTCAAACCCACTGTGAAAATTTGTAAAATAAATAAATAAATAAATAAATCAGTGATTACCCTGCAGCTTTAGCATATGTTAGCATTTGTTACTGGTTAGGCCAATATAAATGCTGTGCATTTACTTGGTCCTGCTTATGTAAATGGTAAGATGCTTGCGTGCTGCTGTTGTTTTCCTAGTTGGAACTATTTGTTAATTTTAGCTCATGTCATATTTTGGCCACGTTTCTCTTTGCCCTGCATTATACTCCATATGAGGCCTGTGCTAACTTCAGCATGTAAGTTCAGTCCCACTTGGTGGAACAGTTTTGCCTGCTTGCTCTCCCAGTCTCTTCTCCTTAATGGAATGGGCTGCAGACTAGTGAATTTTTCCTTGGTTAGTACTTAATGTTGTTTTGACCACAGTACGCCTTTCATGTTCCAAAATTGCAGCCACATGCTGTTTGATTCTTTTTATTTTCCATTCTGAGGTTTTGTATTTGTGGCCATCTGATAAAAGAGCAGACCAAGTGTATGACACTTCAGTATCTTTGTAAAAGTCTCCATATTTTTTTTTGTGCTAAAAGGCCTCCATATTTTTGTTCTGTTGCCGAGCATTCAGCAGAGTGAGAGAATTAATATTACCTTACTAGTTCAAGTTTCTTCACAGTTCAGGTTTAAATCATATAGGGGTGAAGAGTGTTTCCTCTCTGCTGTGTATAAGAAGTAAAGGCTTCTTTTTCCCCAGCTGCTTAATATTACTTCATTTTTTATTCATTAGACGAGGTCTTAAAATGTGGGGAAAAATCATTTAAGTTTCATAGAATGCTCATCTTTCCTGTACAAAATCTATGTACCTATCCCTTGATTATACCAAAAAGGGTCTAAAAAGAATGCAATTCATCTTCCACTTACATCTATTTGCAGAATATGCTTCTCTTGAAAGCCTTTAGTGAACGCTTCTTTTGTTTCATGTGAAATGTTGGATCCGTGTCTTCTGGTCTCCATTCTGAGATGACAACTACTGTAGCATCTCAGTTTGATCTCTACTGTATAGGTTGACAGGAACTTGGCTACATCCTAGGATTTGAGTTTGGCACCTGATATCGCAGTGACATATCCGTCATGAAAAAATGTGTATGATAACACACAAGAATTGCAAACTGTTCTTAAATATGAATACAAGATGGAGGGATAAAGAAAAGTTCTCACACAACAGTATTTGTATATGTGTATATATACATATATATAATACAGTTGGTCTTTCTGGAAGAATAACTGTAGTCTTAATTTCAAATGTTGATACGTCTTCCTGATCCAAAATAGTATGGGCAATGCATATATGAATTTTTGATTGCTGTTTAGCTCTGTATCAGTAATCTGTTTAAAATTCAGACAGATTATTGGAATAAAGACTGTGTTCCTAATTTTATATGGGTGTTTTAAACTTTCTTTTTTTTCAGAGTTTGAGGTCAGTTGAAGTGATGAATGACCTTTATGGTCAATATCATGTGTGATTCCATAACCTTATGCAACTTAAAATATAAGCAGTTTTCTTAGATACCATGTTAGTTATGTTTTTTTTTTAATTTTATTTTTATTTTTTTTTCCTTTCTCTGGATGTAATTCTTGTTCAAAAACTGTAATTTTTCCTAAAGATGGTATAATGTCTTCCTGCTTCTCCTTTGTCCATGAAGAGCAGGCATCAGCTTCAAAGTGATTTAATGTAGCCTACTCAGCTCTTAGCTTGTTTGCTGAGACTGTTCATGCCAAGCACTCAAATTCAAATATATAATACATAACCACCCTCCTGGACTTTTCCTTTCGAATTTTTGAACTTTTGAATCTGCTTTACAGTAAATTTGCAGTGTCCAGATCTCTCGGTATACCCTCAACTAAAATAAAAAGATATGAAATAAATAGAATGTAAACGGTTTTACTGCCCTTTTTTGAAGTGTGCATTTAGTTTCATCATATAATAACTGAGTTTACTATAGGGATTGCCTAAATTACATTTGCTAATGTTACCTGACTTTAAATGTTAATTTAATTCAGTAAAATAGTAGGCAAATCTGAAGTCCTACCACCGCCATTTCTACTAATAATCATCTGTTTAAAGTACAGTGACTTACTACATAAACGGTGAAGTCTTGATCATTGATATATTTTCTTTTTTTCTGAACAGGTTCTAAACCTTTCCGAAAAGAGATATGACCTTACCAAGCTTAATGCAAAGGTATTGGCTCACTTCCATAACCTGCCTCTTTTTCTATAGCGTTAAATAGAACTTAATTGGCATGATAAGCCTTGAAGCTATACAAGCCTTGATACAGAGTAAGATACCTTTTGGAAGATCATAAAAAAAACATATGCCTCGCTTCTGTATTTTTATTTTCCCCCAAGTTCTGTTTTGTGCCTGTTACATCTGTGCTTTACAAAGCTGTTTCTGTTGTTTTCTTAGACTGTACACACAGTAGCCTGTTGTGGCTACTGGAAAATTCCTATTGAGTGAAGTAAATTTTGCTCCAAGCATGCTTTTCTTTTGCACTCATGGGATATTAGGGGTTATATATTGTAACATAAAGTGTAATGACTGAAGCTAGTGAACTCAATTCAAATGTGAGCTTTCCTTTTGTGTTGTCTTTTCATAGTTGCTTTGTAAAATAGAGACATAAGGAAAGGACCTATAAATGCCTTTTGCTTTTCCTCATACCCTTTCCCTTCTCACTGTTGTATTTATTGTATAAAATGAAATGCAGTTGCTCATGTACATTCATAGTAGTAGATTTACATATGCTGCCAGAGAAGAATACTAAAAGGACTCTTAATTTTGACCTAATGAGTACATTATTGACCATGAAGGATTTAAGTTGTTCATGGTTACTGCTTTTGTTAATGTTCAATATTGTTACTGTTAATTACGTATATAATAGTTTGAGTAAACGGTATTATATAGTGACTAAAGTTGAACAGAAAATATGAATGAATCAAATCTGTTGTACACAAAGAAAAGAAAAAAAATTGCAAACTTAATAAAAATAATTACAAAATATTTGCTCAGGTCAGTCAACATTCTTTGTTCTAATTTTGACATTATAAGTATTTTACTATTATTAAATACCTGAATTTCTAATTGAAAATTCTTTTAAGGTCTTCAGAAATGTTGTGATGTATCAGTGGTTGGTGGGTTTGGGGGAGAGGGTTTTTTTTTTTTTGTTGTTTCTTTTTACAAAATGCTAGGGTTATTTTTTTTTTATTTTTTTTAAAGAAAAAGAAACACATAAACATATATTTACATCATGGCATTCAAATGTAATATGAAATGATCTGCAAGGGTTGGAAAAAGAGAGGAGACTCCTAACCATCAGAAGTTAGAATTTTAATACGGAGTATTATGGTAAAGGTGACTCTTGTTATTTGTTTAACTGCAGATTATGGATGTGGGGTGGCCTGACCTCCATGCACCACCTCTTGATAAAGTGTGCACCATCTGTAAGGCTATGGAGTCATGGTTGAACAATGATCCTCAACATGTGGTGGTGATTCATTGCAAGGTGGGTGAGCTTTGGGAGTACTCATTGACTATCAGCTTGAAATCATTCTCAAAAAGGTTGTCCTTACTCATTAAAAAAAAAAAAAAAGTTTGCTCTTTTCAGTGTTGCAAACGGTGTGCCAAATCTTCAGTTGATTTAAGTAGGCCTTATTCTACAGACCCTATAGGCTTGTTATCTCTTCCTTTTTGTAACTAATGTTCTAGCTTCTACTCTGAGTATAGCATGCAGTTATGTTAGTTTGCTTTTTCAAACTCAGTAGTCAGTGCTATTTCTGTGAATTTACTTAGATTCTTGAGTTTTTCCAGCTCAATGGCAAACTCTTTAGAAGAATTTCAAATTCTGTGACATTTATGGATTTTGTTGTTGGATAAAGCTAGGCAACAGTTCACAGGCTTGACTTGTTAGTTGGGTCCACATTGCAGATCAACAGAGGTTAAGTGTCCAGATGGCTTTCAGTATGCTAAAGTGGGTGTTCAGGCAATTACCGGCACAACATAATACTGTTTTCTGGACCACATTTTTTGTCTGTATTGGAAAACATGTCCAACAATGTTGAATATAGCACAGTGACTAATAGTTCTGACTAATAGTTCATCATCCCTTTACAGAATAGTATGGTTGTAGGAAATGAGGATATTAAGTACCTTCTGGACCGAGACAGGTTCTAACTGTCTGGGTAACTGCAATGTCATACAGTAATGCTATTATTGTGCAGTGCTGCTTCTTCTCCTTGCTCACAATGAAGAGAAATAAAGAAAAGCCTTAATTAAAAATAAATAATATAAATTCAGAACTGAGTTGGCAGTTGTGCTGGTGATGTAAGACAAATCTGTCTCTGTATTGCAGGCAGATACTACTTCAAACAGAATGTAGGTGTTCTTCAGGTCAAGTTGTATAGTCCCCAGTCCTCTATTTCTTGCAGGCAGAATGCCATGATTGTATGAAACACTACTGAATTCTTACTAGCTGCAGGACTGCAGCCAGAAGAATGGCCCATACATGGGACAAAAAAAAAGGAGGCAAAATATTCCTATGTATTTTTTTTGGTGAATTGGTAGTGTATAGTTGATTAATACCTCCTGGTAATAACTTAAATATTTCCAAACACAAAAATAGGTGTAGCTATCCTGTGTCAGCTGAGAGTCTGAGAATGTTATGGAATCAGAGAGAATTACCACTTGGTAAATTGTACTGAATTTAAGTCATGTAAACTATTTAATAAGATCCATAACATTTTTTAAATACTCCATAGAAAAACAAGCAGCAGTTGTAAGTCTGAGACGCTGTGGGGTCAAGGAGGTAAAAATGACAAGACCTGTCAGAGATAATATGCTTTCCAAAATATGTATTTTATAACATTTTGTAACAGAAGTTGCAACATTGTCTAGACTTGTCTTAAATGATCACTGAAAAGAATTATATAAAATAATTGATAGAACCCTTTACTACTGTTCTTTTAAAAAAAAAATATTGCCTTGTTTTGGTATGAAAAGATAGCATTTTAAATGCATGTTTAAGAAATAATTAAAAGTTTAAAACTATTAAAAGTAATGAATCTAACATTAAAAAAAAATACCAAGAAAACTTAGTATTATTGCTAGGCATATATAGGAGTTAATGTGTTCACCTGAGGACCCAGCTCTTGGATATGAATGAAGAGCTAGGAAGTCATTTGCTAAGTGATATTTTCAAACACAGGCTAGGAATTAAAGTTCCTATGTTAAAGTTTCAGTATGATACAGATAAGTCTTCAGCCTCTTAAACTGATTTCCACTGCGTGCAAGAGCTTCTGAGCACAGAGGACAATGATTAATGCAAATAACATGATGGGAAAAATTCATCACTGCAGAATAGCTAGATACAGGCTTTGCTCTGTGTGATGTTGCCATCCATTTGTGCAAGCTTTCCTCTCCATCACGTAAGACTTGACAGACGTGTATAGAAATCATGCTTAGCATTTTTCGTGTCACCTTGCAATAGAGAGAGATAAGCTTATGTCCATGAATACTACCATTGAAACAACACAAGAGAGGCATGTCTTAAAGTTCTTGTTTAGCATGGGTCTTAAGCAGAACAATGTTCAATGATATGCAGTATAGATTAAATAAGTTACCATTTCCCTTTTTCCCAATACAGGGAGGAAAAGGAAGGATAGGCGTTGTCATATCATCGTATATGCACTTCACCAATGTTTCTGCAAGGTAAGCTATGAATAATGGAAATAAATGAATGTATATTGTGCATTTTTTACAATTAGAAAAAGATCAGAAAAAGATGTCTTGTAATTGTGGAGCTGCTCAATTCCCTCCTTAAGGTTTGCTAGCCAGGGTTCTCAGGAGTCTTGGAGCACATATTATAGTAGTTTTCTTGTGGTTCTGTTTTCAGCAGAAGGTTTGACTAAGTGAAGATCAAAGGTCTGTTCTAATCAGGAATTCTATGATTCTGTGTAAAAGTTATCTAAAGGGTCTTTTAAGATGAATGAAGAAATGTTTGAAACCATTTTTATATACTGATGCAATCTTTAAGTTATTCAACACATCCATTTGCCACATCCCTAAAGTTGTTTCTCTTGAATCCATGAGAAACTATTCCTAAAGTACATATGGAAAATAGTTATTAGAATCCAGAACAAATATTTTAACAGGGAATTCTCAGACATCGATCAAAGTGCAGAAAGCAGTTTATGACATAATCTGAATCTTATTTTGCAGGAGCAGGTCTTCAGTCAGTTTAAACAATAGGAGTCTGATTGCTCTGTTTCAACTGTTTCTTTAAGAGTCTTCAAATTATGAACTGAAAATTAACAATATATGTCAATGAAGATGAAAATTGATAAATGCTGTCAAATGGATGAAATGTATCTTACTTTTAAATCAAATTGTTTTCCGGTATGAGGTGGTACCTGCCTATAAATACATTTTACTAATGTCATAACAGAAAAACATCTGGATGTGAACTGTAGAGCCTAGTGGTGAAAGGTGTCTTCTTTTACAAAACAAATTCAGAACTCCTCTAGGTAGCTTTTAGGAGAGGAGTGAGTTTAGAAGCCATCCTTTAAATTTCTGTATATCTGACAGTTCCTGTTCAAAGCTTAGCTTTTCTGTATAACAACAAGGTTGTCTGGGCTGAGGGAATTTCCTGGCTAGGGTTTGTATATCCCCAGCATTAAGACTCTTCAAAATTGAAGCAAAACACAGCAAAATAACAGAAGCAGGAATTATTTTAGATGCTACTGTTGAGTGTGCTGGCTGCTGTGTCAGAAACAGTACTCATAGAGAAGACTTCTCGGATTCCTCACACTAAATAAAATTTTCGATTGCTTGTATGCACATACCAAAAAAAAATCTAGGCTTACTGAAAAATGCTTTGTGTTGCAAAACTGTTTGGATTACAGATATCTGATGTTCTCATTTAGGAAGGACTAACGTGCAGTAAAACTTAACTTGGGCAAACAGATCTCAGATAAAAAGCTTCACATTTCTGCATTTTTCTTATCTTTATAGGGTTAAAATAGTATTGGTGATGTATGGTATGTATATTGGTATGTGCTCATTTTTGAGATTTAGTGTCTTTGAATCATAGAATCATCTAGGTTGGAAAAGACCTTCAAGATCATCAAGTCCAACCACCAGCCTGACCCACACATATATTTAATACCTCCAGATGTGGGGATTGTATCACTTCCCTGGGCAGCCCATTCAAATGCTTCACACCCTAACCATCAAGAAATTGCTTCTAATGTCCAATCTAAATCTCCTCTGGTGCAACTTGAAATTGTGCAACTTGCTTCATATGAGAAAAGAGACTGATATCCCTCCTTGCTGAAACCTCCTTTCAGGTAGCTGTAGGGAGCAATGAGGTCTCCCCTCAGCCTCCTTTTCTCCAGACTAAACAACTCCAGTTCCCTCAGCTGCTCCTCTTTTTTTTCACATGATGATCTTGTCATATCTTAACAGCATACAACTGTTATAAAATGGGTTCACCCGTTTTGACATAGACATTGAAGTCCAATCATCAGCTCTATGACACTTATTTTCATAGCTTTTTTAAACAGTGATCTGTATCCATCGTAATATTTGTCTACTGGTTCATTAAACACTATCTCTAGTCTTTCAGCTTTTCTAATACTAAATATACAACATAAACATCATAACACTATACCCTATTCTAGCAGACTTGTCTTCATGATGCATGTATAATGTTACCATCATTATTGGCATTGTAATATCATCCTTTGGAGATGAGACGTTCTGACATTCTCTAGGCCTGTGTCTGGAGGAACATGTACCTCTTTCAGAGGGGTAGCATAGGGCCAACAGTGTGTTCATATACATCATTTTGCCTTCCTTCACACAGATACAGAAGACATGCATAGGAACCATTTATATTCTGGATAGAGAATGGAAGAAAGTTTATTTTTAAAAATGTATTTCCTTAAGTGTATGTTTGAAGAGTTTGTAGTTAACTGATGCAGATCATTTCTTCTCTAAAGGCTGATACTTTTATTTAAAACATTTGCTCCATTAGTAGCTTAGGGTAGAAGAAACAAAGACTGAATGAATTGTTTGACTGCTTAAATGATCCTCTAGCCCAGCATCCATGGCACCTCATGTACTGAACTATAGTCAGAGCTAGATAATGGTTTTCACCTTCATAGTGTTGCTGTAGATTTTTTAAAAAGGGAATAAATCTGAGAGAGAGAACTCACCTGTTTAACATTGAAGAAATTGTGGCAAGTATCCCTTTTGCAACCTGAGCTGCTTGGTTTTGGTAATTCTATTGCATTACAATGTGCTGGAAATATGCAATTCAGCTAATTGAATAAGGGAGAGGGTGCTTTGCCTCAGGAAGAAAAATGCCTTAAGGTGTGGAATAAGAAGGTGTCAGCAGGAAAAAAAAAAAAAGAAAAAAAGAAAAAAAGACATTCTTGTCTGACCTGTAAGTGCTAGGGTTACTAGTTAGGTGGTACTTTCTTTTCCTTTCATTTCATTCTTTTTTATTCCAACAATGTTGGCATATTTCAAGCAGTAACCTGATGAATTTCCAAGATAACCCCAAACTGGAATAACAGTGTGTCTCTGTGTCTCTCTTTTGTCAGTGCTGATCAAGCTCTAGACAGATTTGCTATGAAGAAATTCTTTGATGATAAAGTTTCAGCTTTAATGCAGCCATCCCAAAAAAGGTATTTATTTCTAATTCATACCAATAAGAAATGTCATTGTTATCTTCTGCCCCCGTAACTTACTCCCTCACATGCTGTGTAAAGGCTATTTCCACAAGATCCTCCAGTGACTTCTGAATTGTCAGCACTTTATCTTATGTTAATCTTCCTTGACTGATTCAATAATTACTGTTCACATTTGGTTTTAATCAGCCTGTACACAGTAGCTTTTAGAATGATAAGGCTTTGTTAGTAATTAGGCAACAAAAAATAACAAACAAAAGGCACTTGGTTCTGTTCATCTCTAAATAAAAAAAGCCTTCACATTGCGTCTTGAACCCATGTGGTGACCTGCATAGTCCTTTTTCACTTGAAAAATCATAACACAGTATGCCACTAGACATCAAATAAACTTTTCATAAACAGAAATTTACTGGCATCATTCTTTTGCAATTTTAGGTCTGCATATATGTCTTGTATTTTAATAATAAGAACTTTAGAGTGGTTCCTTACCAGATACAGAGGTGTGGACTGTAGTAGCAAAAAGAAATAGATGTTCTTAATTTCTTCCTATCAAGAGGCCTTGTGCATAAATTCTGTTATGTTATGTTAGGATAAATTATTATGAGCACCCCTGCAGCAGTCACATCTCAGTGACAGCCAGGGATACTCACAGCAGCATCTGTGTCTTGTGCCTTATGGCAGTTTTTAACAATTACGTTGTCAGAAAGCTTCAGTTGCTACTGACATAGGTGAACTATGTGCAAATCATAAAGGTAGAGATGAAATAGATACAAATGGTAGTATCTTGCTCTCTTTATCCTATCTATACCCTCTTTGAGGAGACATGCTTAATTCCTCTGTGGTGTCTCAGTTCACCTCCTGACTGATGGAATTAGCATCTTTGCTCAGCAGTATTGAAATTGAGTTTCCTTTACTGTCTTCAAAATACATGTGCATGCATGTACTTTGGAATGACGCTCCCTGTAAGAACAGAGGGGTTTCTCCAAAGCATTTGCAAAACTGTTCTCCTATTGGACCTGGACTTTTCTACCTTTGCCTGATCTGGCAGTAGTAGTAAGGCTATTGCAGATAAAGGTAAGACCAGCTCTGCAATGTTTCTGGCTAATTTTATAATGACTTTTGACCCTATGTTGTTGAGCTACTGGCCTGAATCACTCTTCTAATGTTCCTTTTCTTTGAAATTATTATTGGCTAATAAATTAGCAATGTCCTTGTTAAAATCCAGTTGATGTATAACCAGGTATAATTTAGGTGAATAACAAAATGGTAAAGTTTGAAAATACACCCATTATTTGTATTTTGAAAAATTTTCTTCACTAAATTTTGTCCTCAAAAAAAAATAAAAATCTGACCATTAAGTTTGTCACTCTAAATACCATTTAGCTTCTCTCTAGCTGCTAGTCAGAGGCTCTAACAGTGGAAAGGAAACCAACCATGCTATAGGCTACAAATCCTATTTGGAATCCATTCTGACAGTACTTAGAATGGATACTTTCTTTTAGATAAGCCACTGGAGGTTTGTCTGAATAAGAAGTGCAGATACATAGCCTTCATACTTAAAATTTTGATATAAATCTTCAGGATAAATCTTTGAACACACTTCTTAGAATTTAAATACCCGTAAGCATCTCAAGTGCACTGCGTTAGGAAATGGGGTTCAAGAATTCAGATGAATTTTTGGGATCATTAAAAACAAGTAGTGGTAGAGAGAAAATGTTCAGATCGAGATGTCACTGGTAAGATGTTTTACCACTGGCTTTTGTCCTATAGGTATGACAATTTTAAATCTGTGCTTCAGTCGTAACCAAATATTTTCAGAAAGATATAAGGAGGAACCCAAAAAGCAAAGTAGTAATCTTAATATTTCAAAATAAAGTGAGCCTTGCTAGTTGTCCGTAATAAGAAACCTATTCTAAACCACCACAACCCCCATTCAAGGGTAGTAAAGATGTCATGGCTGAACAGGATATCTTTAGTTGTAGTTGTTAACAGGAGCATGGTTGTTACCTGGAACATGGAGTAAGTGCTCAGTTATGGAGATTTTTGCTTGTTTAAAGAGCTAAGAGGAATATGTTTAACAGACACTGCAGTAATACTCACTTGCATGTACATGCTTGTGAACTCATGATCAAAACAGGTATTAAATAGCAGCAGTACAACGATTTTCATGTTGTTATGGTGCTGCACTTCTCAATATAAAGATGTTATTTGCACACATTAACCTTTATGCTAAGACTTCTGATGCAGGCACTTGTTGCTTTTGTTTTAATGAAGTGTGCTTCACTGTAAATCTGTTGTGCAAGCCAATTCAGACCAATTCAGACAGTTGCAAATAAAAATGTGTACTGAAATGATCGACAGCACTATTGCTGCTGGTCCTTTTCTTATAGTGATGTATATAACTAAAATGAAGACATCAACAGTAGCAGTGCAACAGCCATGTATTTATTAATTTGGTGAATTAAAGCATCCTTTCATGCTCTTTTATGAAGATTATTCTTTTGGAGTTGTGTATAATGTCACAATGCTATTTAGTATCCATGGACTAGAAATAGTAGTGTAAAGAATGGGTTTCCCCCATATAGTTGCGTTACTGATTTTATCTAATACAGATAAATTTTTTACTTTTTAGATATGTGCAGTTTCTAAGTGGCCTTCTATCTGGATCTGTGAAAATGAATACAACCCCGCTTTTCCTGCACTATGTTATTCTCCATGGTATCCCAAGTTTTGATGCTGGAGGAGGTAAATTACCTCTCTTTTCATATCCATGTGTAGGATTACAGCCTTTTTTCAGTCTGGACCTTTCTAAAAATCCTGCATAAAACTTGAATTTGATATCAATCCTTGATATCAGTCTAAAAATTCCTAGTAAGTGAATGAGGAGAAGTGTTCTAAGAATACAAAGTGAGAACAGGTGAAATAAATTTTCGTCCTCTATTAAATGAAAAGATGATGCCTAGTTTGTGAATAGTTGTGCTCTCAGTTCCTGCAGCGGAGCTGAGAACCTGATCGTTCCATAGTCTAGTTTCCTCCTTCTAGGAAACAAACGTGAACATAAATATAACTTCTTTAGAGAGGAAATCTCCTGTAGAGATTGGGTTTTCTGTAGGATAGTTATTTGGACATGGTGCACTTCTGAGGTGATCTGCTTTAAAGAAAAATTTAAAGTTAAAATTTCAAACCAAGATACTGTGCTAAAGCTTTAACAGCATGGTAAATTGGTAACAGCATGGTAAAGATAAAGCTCTTTATTTTCTCTAGCCAAGAGTTACATAGCACCTGTCGTATGAAATGTCATCAACATGAATTCATGATGCTCCATTTTAAATTTATGATGCTCCATGTGTTTTATATTTCTAAAATTTGTCTGTTTTCAATAAAGAAAGAATATTGTTAGTTGTAGTAAGAAATGTGAAGTACTTATTAGATTTGTAATAAAACTGTAGAATAAATATTTTGTTACATTTTGAAAATGCTTTTTATTTTGCTTTGGGTTTTGTTTTAGTTTTGTTCATTTTCTTTCTTCCCTCATTTATTTTGCTTCCCACCAGATAAAGGGGGAAAGAAAGACAGTTCAAAAGAACAAAGTGTTCCTTCTAATTTTTCTCACCAGAATCCTTTAAAATCCCCTCCCCTATTCAGAACTAGTTTGACCAGAAGAAGACCAGAATAAAATCAACTTTTTCATAAAATACAATCATACACTTTTTCAAGGAAAAGACAGTTTTGTTTGGAAAGATGTTTTGACAGTCAACATTGTGTCTGTGTGTCATTTTGTGCAGTGTGGAATGACTGGAATTTCAGCATGAAATTTCCTAGTTGTAAGATTGAGATAAAAGGAAAATAATTACAGAAATAGTCCTTTTTGTTGACTTTTTTTCAGCTTGTCGGCCTTTTCTGAAGTTATACCAAGCTATGCAACCACTGTATACATCTGGAATATAGTAAGTCTTAGGCATTTTCCTTTATGCTTGAATATGTTTTAATTCTTGCAATTGCAGAATTACATAATCTTATTTTCTTGTTTGTTTCTTTAAACCATTTATATTTTCTTTTCTCTTCTGTTAAGTAGCGTAGGGCCAGAAAATCAAAGCCGAATCTGCATTGCTATAGAGCCAGCCCAGCTTTTGAAGGGTGATATTATGGTAAGTTAATTGTACGGAATGAAAGTCTAGTACTATGCCTTTTGGATTATAGTCTCTCTTCTTTTTTTGCATTCTAGTAATAAATAAAATAAATAAAAAGAGAAAATAGTTGTAGACATGCTATAAAATAGGTTTCAGTTGATATATTTATCATCCTTGATTTTCATATGAAAGAAAGATCCTATAAAGCTCAGACTAGAATGTTTTAAAGAGCCAAAACAATTATTCCTAGCATTTCCATTTTGTAGCATCACCAAGTGCAGTAGTTCATGTTCTGCTGTCTTCTTTATAAAAATTGCCTTGGGGAGGATTTGTAACTTAGTGTTAGAATGTCCTTGTCCTGTAACTTTGCAGGCAAGATCTGCAATTATGAAACTATATCCTGTTATGAAAATACCTGACTAGTTTTAAATTATATGGGGACTCAGGAAGGTGTAAAACCAAATAAAAGTTTTCTGATTCTATGAGTAAAAGCAGTATTTGGAAGCAATCTGTGTGTAATTTGCTGTGTAGAAAGTATAACTGTGGTTGAATTGCAGCACTATCATTTTAAAGCTCTTTGCCTTCTCTCTTGCTTGTCATTTGCAGTTATGCATAGGGAAAGTAAAGAAAGATAGTTGATGTGCCTTTCAATTTGTTAAACTAAGAGGATAGGGTCAAATTAATAAGACAATGAATGTGCATTGTCAGAAAGAGTATTCTTGGTGTTTATATTGCTGGTAGGTTTCAGAATGTTTTTTATATTATTTATTTTTTAAACTAAGAAATGTTGGACCTCTATGTCAGGGCATCAGACTTTTAGTTTTTTCTTTTGTTTCTTTTTTTTTTTTTGAGATAATATTTTTATTTTCCTCCTCCCTTCCTTTACCCTTTTTTTTCCTTCCCCTCCCCATTCAATTTAGTGCATTGATCTTTTTTTTTGCTTTCACTGAGAAATGGAGAAGAGAAAAAGAATCAAAATATCCTGGTATCAATTGGTATATTCTGGAGGTTTGGGACAGTTACACATTCAGGAATATTTGTTACTCATCAGAGCACTGTTGATGCCAAATGCAAATTGAATATATCACAAAAGAATTCAGTCTAAGAGAAATTCACTGTATCTCAAAAGTGTTTTTAAAAGGAAAAATGAGCTTTTCACTAATGCTTTTTAAAGAGGGCAACTTCATTAATCCCATGCTCTTACTGGAAGAAATTCTTGTGAAAAAGCCAGCATCTTACTCAGCATGATATTATTTCCTAAATAAAGACTTCTATTTAATCATGAATGTTTATTAGCTACAGTTAAGCAAAACCATTTGTGGTTTCAGGAAAAGAAACATCTATAAGATGTCTTGCCTCCAATTCCAGAAGATTTAACTGCCTGAACTTCATGGGTTTGAAATAAATTTCCCAGCATATTACACTAGTTTGTATTAATTTCTGAATATGACATCAAATGGTAATGGAGTCAGAATCCAAAGTTAGACTTTTAAGTATACTGAGTGCTAAATGATGCTTTTGGCATCCTGAGTTTAGATGTACGTTGTTAGTGATGGTAAGAGGGGCCAGTTTTTAATGAACAGTTCTATATACGTGATTTAGGATATCCTAAATTAGGATTCTTTAAGACCGTTGGTGTGAATTAGAAAGTAGAAAGTTATCTGAACTGACACAGTTTCAGCATTTTTATAAATGTGATTAAGCAAAAACCAGTAGATTCTGGGTAAATCCTGCAACTGTGCAAAGCCAAAAGTATTGATAAACTAGAGGTCACATGTTTAGATATTTAGCTTTCTGCATCTTCAGAAACTGTCATGTATGATCCACTTGTAAAAACAATGTTACTGTTTAAAGAGTTAAAATAAAGAATGATGAGAATAAGATAATGCTTTAATGTAAAGTTGGGAGGGAATGTATATAACCTTAAAGAAGTTCTGATGTTTCTTCAAGCTTCTTTTTGTTTATATATTAAAATTAAATAGAATTATAACAGTTATTTTCAGTCTGATTATAAATGTTGGAGTCAGGTTAGTTCTGATATCTCTCATCAGTGGCTCTCTTAAATCCCCCTTCTGTTCATTTTTCACTTTGCAAGCTTGTAATTTTAATCCGTTATGAATGGTGATTCTCCTTTACATAGAGTTGCTGGGCATAATGGAGAATGGGAGGTTATTCATTCTCTAGTTAAACATACCAGCTGTTTTTTTTGGCTTTAAATTTTGTCAGTTTAAGGGACTGACTTATATCTATGGTTCTAATGAAATTATGCTGTTAGGTATGTTGGACAAAAGGGAAATAAATCCCTTCAATAGAAAGGTTTTCTATGCTTTGCTCATTTTAGTGAATGTAAAGCAACATTTAAAATACTTTGCCCAGTGTTACCACTATGTTAAAGGAGATTCACTTTTAAAATACAAAGAAATAAACAGCACCAAATTCTCATGTTTAGATAAACTAATGATTATTTCCATAGAGAACCTTCCAGCCCTTATATGTGGTTTGCATAGAGAATACCTGAAAAAAAATCTCAGGTAGAATCAGCTGTTGCTTATACAGCTATGGTTTTAACTGGTGATCAGATAACCAGATGTTTTTGCACACCCAAAGCTATTGCAGCTGACTTCTGGTTATGTGAAGAGTAGAAAAGTAGAATGTAACTCATTTCATATGCATATCAACTGAAATTCAGCATTTGGTTGAATACAAAATTTGGAGACCTGAAAGAATGTCAGCAAGCACTCCTTAGTAGTAAGGTAGTAAGCAGATTACATTACTAACACTAAAAAACAGGGGATCTGTACAGTGTTATTTGCTGTTGCATCCTTTATCTACATCAATCTATCTTTATTTGTCTCATTCATGGCAGTGGTATAATGGAGCTATTAAATTTGAAGGTGAAATTTCCTAGCTCTTTGAAGGCAACAGCAAGAGAGTACTATCTTCCCTGGGGTCACAATTTCACCATATCTGAATATATCTGTATTTACCATATCTGAATATATCACTCCAACCAAAATTAAAATGCTTTTTGAAATAGTAAAAACATCCAAATCATCCAAAGGCAGGGGTCAGACTGGAAGGCTTTCTCAAAACTGAAAGCCACATACAGTTTGTTTCTTATCCTCATCATAAAGGTGCCTGATTAGAACTGTTGGTAGGTTACTTCTGTTTCTGTTTAGATTAAGAGAACGCAATTTGAATGAACACTAATTGTAGCATGTTTTATTGTAAACCTGCAAGCTTTGTGTTTCATACTGGAGTCTTCTATAAACATACATTTTTAGCCTTGTTAGATATACCAAGCAGTAGTACAAATTAGCAAAAAAGAATTACCTCTTCATGGTACTTACTTGAAGAGTTGATACTGTAAATGTATTGATAAATGCCAGGAAGCTTGTAGTGATCATTCCAAGTGTGTTTGGGTATTTACACTATTTATACTTAAAAAATGGAATTTGTTTTTGTCTGAAAACATTGCTTGGTTGACTTCATGTTAGATGAAGATGATATGTTAGATATTCTGGCTGTCCCTGAACGTCACTGTGGAGAAGTTCTGAATTCTTTCCAAACTTCATTTCATTTTTTCCATCTTTTCTGTGCACAGCTATAGGTATTATGTGCCACTTGCCTTTGTATAAGATCACTACTACACAATCACAAAATGGATTTTTCTTCACAATCTCTCTAAAGTATTGATGGGAAAAATGAGGCACTTGTCTGAGGTTACACTGAAAATCTGTGTCTGAGTGAGGAACTGAACCTTGTTATCACTGTGTTTCGGTTTTGTGTCTGGTATTCTGTATGGCAGCAGGAAGACAAACCAGACAATCTTAAACTGGTGTATGGTCTGAAATGTATCAGTTGTATGCACCACGTCAGTGCTGTTGAAATTCTGGAATTTAAGGCATCAGAGGGGTAGAGTAAGGAAGGATACAGAGCAAAGCTTATGTAGGCTTTTAAAATCCTGTAGTGTGAAGAATTTCATAACTATGTTTTACTCTAAATTTTCTAAATCATCTCTCTTAAACACCTACATCTTTTGTGTGTTACTTTACTTCCCTTCAGTTTGAATAACTGTTTGCTCCTCAGTTATTCAGTATCTTCTTTCTAGAACACATTTTTTTTCAGTCTGGGTTAGAAAAAGGAGATTTTTTTTTTAATGCATTTCAGTAACATTTGCTTTATTATAAAATACTGAGATCCCTTTCAGTCTTGTGACTAAGTTTACCAACATTTTAATGTATTCATGTAAGAATTCTTAGTGGTCATGTATAACATTTGACTCAGAATAGGTGGGTGAAATATCCATAGGAGTGATCTGAGGGAGGGTGCTGTTGAAGAGTAGTTGTATTATGTTCACCTTTAGCCATTGAAATTTGTAGTAAATGCAATTTTTTCAGAGTTCTGTCTTGTTCTAGCCTAGGTGTCAAAACTACTGCCAACTTCCAACAGTAACATGAAACAAGATCCTATCATCACTAGAGTAGGTTTAAAAAAAAGTCCGAGAATAAATGTAATCATTTTACAGCCTTTCTGAGAAGGCTTCTAAAATCTCTGTGTATTCTGGTTATTTTGAAATGTCTGTGCTGTAATTTAGCTTTATGTTAGTTTAGTGGGTGCCATGAAGAAGTATGGATGTAAGTCAGCATTCCAACATTGCAATGACAACTGTTGTGATTCTGAATTGTAATCTACTGATTGGTGACTGATAGTGATGAAAATAGTGACTATTTATATTTATACATCCTGAACTATCTTGCCTTGGGGCTGTATAATTTTAAAGGATTGAATAAAGCATATCCTGTTTGTTTGACACCAACAGTGGTGTCTGCACTAAATTGCACTGAGTCTGGTTTATTGATACTTAATGCATACACATAAATTTGTTCCAATTTTCAAAAAATTGCTTTCTAACATGTTACTTTCTTTCTTTCTAGCTGAAGTGTTATCACAAAAAATACCGGTCAGCTACTCGTGATGTGATTTTTCGCCTTCAGTTTCACACTGGAGCTATTCAAGGACATGGCTTGGTGTTTAGTAAAGAGGACTTGGACAATGCCAACAAAGGTACTTGTCTTCTGTAATTGGTTAGATTTCTACGTGTGTGGGTGCAAGTGTATGTTTGTGCATATGATGATAGTCTTCAGAATCTGTTTTCAAAAGGATTTTTTTCCATCCTGTTGTTCAGGGAGAGGGAGATTACTTTGTGTTATTTTAATTCATAGCACTGTAACACACGTAAGCCCTTAATGAGAACAAAAGCTCTTCGTGTGAGTTAAGTTGTCAAAATAATACAGATACTGCTTCATAGTCCTTAACTCATCCTCTCATATTTTTAACAACAACAGACATGCTTAAAACGATGACTCTGTTATTCATGATTGCAGGAAATATGCTGAAGCATTCTCTTTTCACTGAAGATAAGTTTTAAAGTCTGGTACTGGTTTTGTGACCTGGACTGCTTGAATGTGGAACACTTCTATTATGCTTCAGAATAGGTATCCAAAAATGGAGGCAAAGTTTTCGTAAATATTTGAAAATGTCTCAAGTTACTCTTTATATTTTCCAAAGGATTATTTCAGTTTTATTTTTATGTTTATTTGCAGGATTATAACTTCCACACCCTATGTTACTAACAAACTAAAATGAAACGTATTTTCCTGCAACATGTGCCTATACAAAACCCTTATGGTCAAACATTGCAATTTAGCCAATATACAGAACAATTTTACTTTGTTCCTGAGTGTGTCTTCCTTTAATAGCCACAGACTAGGGGTGGTTCAGCTCTTCTGTTTTTGACTTTCTTAGAAGTGAACAGAACTCCAACTGACACTTAATTGATCCTTTCTGGAGAACACATGGGGCAAAGAATGTGTGTGACTTTTTTAGAAACAAATCACTAGATTCCACGTGAGAAGAGTGACAAGAGTACGTGTGTTAATGGCTATAGACAATTCTGATTTATGAGTGTCTTGGAACTGTTTTCCTGGGAGATAGCTTGTTGAAATGTTAGCTTTTATTTTCAGATGACCGTTTCCCTGATTATGGCAAAGTGGAATTAGTGTTTTCAGAAACCCCAGAGAAAATTCAAGGTGAGTATACAGGAGAAAAAAGAATGCTTAGCTTAAATATAAACCACATTGAAATGTATACTTAAAAACAACAACAACAACAAATGAAAACAAAAAAAAAAACGAAACAAAACAACTTTTTTTCTCTCTTGTTCCACTTGTCTTTTAGAAGATAGGAAATTCAACTTCAGCATTGAAATATGTAATATTTTACGTACATTTATGTATGTAAACATACATTTATGTTTTTGGTTTAAATGTGAAGAATTTAATGAAGACACCGCATAGGAGTTATCTGACTTTGTTTTAAGGGTATACAACAACAGTTGCTAACAACCAGTAGAAAACATTTTTATGTCTGTATGAAGCATGCATAGTATACATGTACAGTGTAGGTAGCTTGACCCAGTATAAGTGACAGCAGTGGTCATTTCCATAACTTTTTCTGGATGTTGTTATAACTGATTATTTTTGTTGAAGTGGTGAAGTTTTGACTGTCTATAATTTAGAATAAGGAGATGTAGTTACAATTTCCTTGGAGATGTGCCTGCTCTGAAGTTGGCTTGTGGGTATATCCTGTATGCCTCCAGAATATATTCTGTTTTATTATGTCTAAGATCATAGATAATTACTGCCTGCAAGAAGAACTTAAGATCATGCTTTATATTGCAGTTTAATCTGTTAATGGATCTGTTCTTACTCATTTTGCAGTGTTTCCAAAAGTATGGATTCAGCCTGAAACTGAATGAAAACTAAGTATTCTGAACTGTCTGTCTCACACATAATCCTGTTAGGCGTCCTGTGAATTGCATGTTTTCCTTTTCATTTTTTTCACTAGTTTGATCACTTAAAAACTTGTGGTAGCAGCCAATAAGAAGCTGGATTCTATCTAGCTGAACATGAAGATCTTACTTAGTGTGCTGGAAAGTCATATAAGAAAAAAATGGCTTTATATATAAACTCTCACAGCTGGATCTGAACATTTCTGGATGGTAAATGCTTGAAGAGAGGTCACCTTACATGGCTGAAAAATTACCAAAATTTTTTCAAATCTGCCTTAGAGGGCAAATCAGATCTGTGTTTTTTAGCAGGCTCCAAGTTGTCTGAATGTAAGGTTTTAAGTAATTGGAAATTAGTTTTCAGTTGCTGTCTTCCTAACTGTCTAGGAAGAAGATTTCACTTTGGAAATACTTGTTTACCGTTTCTGCAAATGACTTTTCCACATTGAAAGTATTATAGAATAACTGCAGGTTATCTCTAGTCCATCCTCCTGCTGAATCCGAGGTCATCTGTGAGATCAGTCCAGGTTGCCAAAGCATATGTCCAGCCAAGTCTTGAAAACCTCTAAGGATGGAGACATCACAACCTCTCTGGGCAGACTCTGGGCAGTGTCTGACAGCCCTCATAATGAACTATTTTTCCTCCTAAAGATAAGGAAACTCTGTATGTTTAATTTATGTCTGTTCCTTCTTATCTTCCCACCTTGCACCCACCTGGCTCTGTCTCCTCAGTAGCCTTTGGGGGTGTTGCTGTAAGGTCACCCCAAACCGTCTCATCCCCAGGCTGAAGAAGCCCTGGTTCCTCAACCTGTCGTTCCAGGGCAAGTCTTTCAGTCTACCCTGGTGGCCCTCCCCTGAACTTGCTTCACTCTATTTATGTCTTTCTTGTATCAGGTAGCCGAAAACTGAACACAATATCCTAGAAAATAACAATTTGTGATACAAGTTTTAGGAAAGGATGCAGTTGCTAGGAGAATTAGGCATGTAAATATTTAAGTAACAAGGTTCCTAAATCTGCTTGAGACAAATGTGACTTTTTCTCTTCCTTCATGTTAAGGTTTAGGACCATAGTATTCTTGTCCTTTTAATGTTAACTATCCTTGTTTTGAAAGCCTCACAACATCCATATAACACTGTACTTCTTAAAAACAAGTTAAAAACATGCTTCTCCAGACACAGACACAGAGTTCTATGATGTCTTCCTGTAGGGCTGTGTGGTCAGCTGTGTTCATGGTGTTTTGGGGCTGATACAAGTTATCAGAGCTACATTATGAACAAGAAGCTCAAGATAAAATTCTGTGCTTGTTCCTTCTGTAATGAAACATAAATTAGGCTATTTTTAGTTGGTTTATATAATCTTTCTTCCCAATCTAAGAACATGGTATTGTATTTGCCGGAACAGACTTCTATCAGAAGGCCACATGCATATGTGTGTGTATATCATTTCAGATATGATTTTTGTCTCAAACACATGTTAATTTTTTAGGATGTGAACACCTTCAGAACGACCATGGAGTGACAGTTGATTACAATACCTCAGACCCGCTGATACGCTGGGACTCCTATGAAAATATGAGCCCTGATGGGGAAGGTGAGTAATTTTGTTAAGGCAAAACCTTTGGCAACTGTGCAAGAGTGTCTGAAAGGGAGGAAAGAGATTATCATTTACTTGAACCTACTGCCACCTCACTGATGTGAGGAATTAAGTTGCTGTCCACCACTGTCTCTTTAATCCTAGTGGCTCTTTACTCTTCCATAGAAGAAGGCTGTTTAAAAGAGATTCTTGTTAATACATTGAATTGGATTGAGTTGCAAATGGTTGGTATGAGTTACTTATTTGTAAACTAGCTTTAAAAAGTTTTTATTGTAAAGCTTCTAGTTTCACTACTAATATGGAATTGTAAGAACAAAATGATGTGGCCTTGGGTGCTTACTATATTATCTGAAATGTTACAGGAGGTGCATTAGTCTGTAAAATGATAGATAAATGAATGGGCAAAGATGTGCATATTTGCAAATTTCACCGTATAAATGTACCAACTTCTGAAGTGTCCTTTTATTTCTTTGGATTTTTTTTTCTGTAATATGCTGGTAAATGCAGAAGATAAAAGCTTCCAATAGCAGCCTTCATATTCTAACTTTAGAGTGCATGCTTTCCTGATGCTTTGCCTGAGGGAGTGATTGTGATTTTAATGGATGTAGTCGTCATGTAAGTACTATGGTGGTTTCACACCAATGGCTAGCTAAACTCCTCCACACCTCTTTCTCTCACACCCTCCTCAAAGGAACAGAGGGAGAAAATATGACGGAAAAAGGCTCAAAGGTAGAGACAAGATCTCAAGACAGATCACTCACCAATTACCATCATGGGCAAAACAGAGTTTGCATAGGGAGATTAATGTAATTTATTGACAAGTAATAACAGACTAGATCAGTGAGAACTAAAAGCAAACTAAAAACAGCATTTCATCTCCATCCACTCTCTTCTACCTCAATCCCTAACACTGTCTCAGCTGCTCCTTCCTCCTTGTCCTATTCCCCTACTCTAGTGTGGGGCCCCTCCCACAGGATGCAGTCTTTCCTGAACTGATTCTGTGTGGGCTTCCCACAAACAGCAGTTCTTGAATCATAGAATCACAGAATTGTAGGGGTTGGAAGGGAGAAGAAGAACTGCATGGGCTGAATATGTGGGACACAGTCCTTAAGGAACAGCCTGCTTCAGCATGGGCCCCCCACGTGCAGCAGCTCCCACCAGACCTCCTGCACCGCTGTGGGCTCCTCTCCATGGGTGGCAGCCCTCCTGTCTGCCAGGGCACACTGCTGGTTCATATTCAGCTTGCTGTCAACCAAAACCCGCAGACCCCTCTCTGTGAGGCTGGTCTCTAGTGTCTCTCCCCCCAGTCTGTACGTGCAGCCAGGGTTGACCAGCCCCAGGTGAAGGACCCAGCACTTGCTCTTGTTAAACTTCACGTGGTTGGTGACTGCCCAGCTCTCTGATCTGTCCAGATCTCTCTGCAAGGCCTTTCCACCCTCAACAGAATCAACAATCCATCCCAGTTTAGTATCATCAGCAAATTTGCTCAAAACACGTTTTAGTCCTACATCGAAATTGTTTATGAAAACATTGAAAAGAACCAGCCTAAAATGGAGCCCTGGGGGCTGTCCACCAGCCTGATGTGGCCCCATTTACCACAACCGTTTGAGCCCTACCCATCAGCCAATTGTTCACCCATTGTGTGATGTTTTTACTTAGCTGTATGCTGGACGTTTTTTCCAGTAGGATCCTATGAGAAAATGTATCAAAAGCTTTACTGAAATCCCAAAAGATTGCATCAGTTGGCTTCCCTTGATCAACTAGATGGTTGATCTTATCATAAAAGGAAATGAAATTTGTCAAACAGGACCTACACCTCGTGAACCCCTGTTGGCTATGACCAGTGACTACATTGTCCCCCAGGTGTGCTTCAATAACTTCAAGGATCATCTTCTTCATAATTTTACCAGGCACTGAGGTGAGACTGACAGGCCTGTAATTAACAGGGTCTTCTTTCTTGCCCTTCTTGAAAATTGGCACAACATTTGCCAGCTTCCAGTCTACTGGGACCTATCAAGATTCCCAAGACCATTGAAAAATAATTGAGAGAGGTCCAGCAATGATGTCAGTCAGCTCTCTGAGTACCCTAGGATGAATCCCATCTGGCCCCATGGACTTGTATGGATCCAGGTGGAGCAACAAATCCTGCACACGTTCAGGGTTGACTGGGAGTTTATCATTCCCAAAATCATAGTCCTCCAGCTCAGGGCACCAGAGGTCCCAAAGCCCATCATTGGCATTGAAGAAAGAGGCAAAGAAGGCATTAAACGTCTCTGCTTTGCATATGTCCTTGTTTGTGAGGTGATCATCCCCGTCAAGTAGTGGACCTATGTTTTCTCTTTTTGTGTTTAAGTATTAAAAAAAGCCCTTTTTATTGTCTCCCACAGACCTGGCCAGCTGCAACTCTAATTGGGCTTTGGCTGCATGAATTTTCTCCATATAAATGCAAACAGCAACCCTGTAGTCTTTTCATGTTGCCTGACCCTGCTTCCAGCAGCCATACAAATTTCTTTTTATGCCTAAGCTCCAGAAGAAGATCCCTGGTCAGCCAGGCTGGCCTTCTGCCCCACCTGCCTGATTTCTGATATTTCGGAATTGCCTCATCCTGTGCTTTTAGGAGGCAGTGTGGCAGTGCTCAGGATGTTTCTGTGGCATGTGCTTCCTTTCTTATCCCCTACTTTGTGTAAACATAACTGTCAGCAAACAGTGAACTGATGTTAAATATTTTAGCTGCTAAGATTCATTGGATAGACAGATTTGACCTTCCCATCCTCATGCATTGTATTATAAGTAGCTACATCAGTACAGGAAATTGAAAGCAGAGATAAATGTTTAGGCAGCACATTGTTGGAACATACAGAACAGTATGTTGCTCATATCTTAATGACTTTATATAGGAGACTTCAACATAGACCATTCAAAAGTACAATTACCTTGTTTTCCTGATGTTTGGAAGTTATATGTGCTACTTAATAGGCTTTTTTTTTTTTGGTAATTTGTGTGCTTGATATATTTTCAATTACCTGAGATGCAATATCAATATGATATGTTGGCATGGATATTGAGAAATTTATTATGCATCTGTAGAGAAGTCACTAGAGAAGCTAGAGAATGCACCATAAAAACATGAGATGTATCCAGATATTCTTTCCTCAAGCAAACATTTAAGAGGCAGGATAAATGTGAACCTATGGAACTCAACAATGGAATTGCAGGCAGAGCATCTGTCTCTGCATAGCTTTGGCAAAAGATCAAGAGTGGCTAAAACATATGCACAAGGGAACAGCTATGTTTTCTCCTAAGGATGAAATTTGTATTCAAACCAAAGGTAAACCTAATTTGCCATTCAAGATAAACAGAGTTTGCTTAGGTCTTCCTTTACTTAGGACTTACAACAGGACAGACTTCTTTTATGGTTTGTGGCAGTCGTTCAATATCATGCTTTTGCATTAAAAGATTGTATTGAAGCCTGGTTTTCACCACAGGTGAGAGACCACTAACAGGAGATGCTAATATCATATCCAGACAGTGAGCAAAGTCAAGAAGCTTTGCATGTGGATCTTTTAGCTACAATCGTGAAGTCATAGAAAGAAACTCTTTCGTACCTCAGATATAGGATGTGGTGCATTTGAAAGTCTGCCTGACAGTGGTGATACGTTTAAAATGTGGACGGGTCTCATGGGATGCCTGTTTCAGATCTACTCCATTACTCCTGGCCTTTTGTAGGAACTGGACTTCACAGTTTTACTTCTGCCTGTTTTCTATGGTAATTTCAGTAGCAATAACATGAAGGTGACAGTATTCCTGCATTGCAGTTACACACCTTGTTCATTTCAAAAAGAGTTTTGAAATTCCAAATCAAGGTGGCCAGAAAGGCTACAGCCAAACTCTTTGAAGTGCACATGGTTTCCTTTGTAGGTATGTGTGTAACAGCTATTTCCAAGCTATTTTCAGTGTGTTAAAATGGAAAAATAGTGAAAAAGAAAGCTGTTTATCTCCTTTGCAATCCTACACTTATTTGGCATTGTTAGCAAAAGAACAAGAGATGAAAGGACATGAAAAAAGAAATATGTACTCAAAGTATTCCTTGTCAGAAAGAGCAGTCAGGCATCGGAATGGGTTGCCCAGAGAAGTAGTGAAGTCACTGTCCCTGGGGGTGTTCAAGGAAAGATTGGACCTGGTGCTTAGGGTGCTTATGGTTGAGTGGGTGACATTGGTGGTAGGGTGATTGTTGGACCAGATGATCTTGGAGGTCTTTTTCAACCCTAATGATTCTGTGAGTCTATCTTATTTTATTAGTGTAATACAGTATTGCAGACAGAAACTATTGCTTTTTAAGTGACCGTAAACCCTGTGATGATAATAAAGTTGAGTATGCTCGCATTGGATATGGCCAGGCTAGCTTGCTCTTTGGAATTAGTTCTTTATCCCTTATTCTTAACAGTACAGGAATTTTGACTATTGGGAAGCAATAAATTAGTTGAATTTTGTTTCATAAATGCTGTTTCTCTTAGATCACTTGAGAACTGTCTGTTATATATTGCACTAATAGTCCTCCATAATAAATTGAAGATTTTATTAGTTTTTAATTCTGAGTTTGTATCAAACTTCTTCTTCTAGTACATTTGCACAGAGACTTCTGTTATGTGGGTTTAAAACCCTGCAGTTGACTGTAAGATTTGAAACCACAAGAACTGAAACATCTTCCTCTTGCCATGTAGAAGTCTGAGATAGTTGTCATTGGTTTTCTTGTGGTTTTAAAGTTATGGTACTCATCAAGTCCTCATCAAGATATTGTTAAAACCAACACTTAAAATCTGCTGAAAATGCAGCTCCCCTTTTGGATAGGAACCATTATTTTGTGTGGAAATTACAGGAACATCCCAGTACAGCCTGGGCTTTGAGGTGTTCTGAAAATAAAATCAGATACATTAAAAAAAAAATTATATGTATTGCCAAAGAGCAGAAACTCCTTTTGCTAGGGAATATGAGTAATT